AGCAGCAGAACTTCCCTTTGGGTCAGAAACATCTTACTGGCCAGAAATCTAAGGTACCAAGACAAGCTCACTTATATACATACTGGGAGAAGGGAGTAACGGAGGCTGCTCGAAGGTGCGTGTGTATCCTCTCCCCCTCCCCTATTTGATATAGTATCGTAGAAGCATATTTAATAAGGCGAGGGACATGTATGGTTATCTATTCTGCTAAAAGAACAGAGTTCAGGATGCGAATTACAACAACTCTTGTTACAGATACCATGTTGGAGTTGACAGTTGGTTAGCAAATTCATTCGAGTCAGCTAACTGAGGTGCCAGGAGAAGGATTAAGGATCGGTGTGAGAACTGTGGCGTAGGTTGTGAGTCAGGAAAGTGAAACAATTATAATTTTTTTAACTTGGACTCAAGGGGTTACTGAGTGTGAGAGAATAAGAGAAAAAGCAAGCTTATTATGGAGAGAGAGAGAGAGAAGAGAGAGAGAGAGAGAGAGAACGATAAAAGAACAGGAATTCAGAAGACAGAAGATAACGATTTATATTGCATTTAAATTTTGAAGTCTAAAGTTGACCGGAAAACAAGGTCAACAAGCGAGAAATGTGAGAGACGAAACTGTTAGCGTAAAACTTACGGTTTCATTTAACCCTTTGCCGTCAATCTAGTAGTACACTTAAATTCATGAAGTTTATGTTCCAAAGTGGAAAGCTCATAAGAATAATTACCATGAAAATATTTATAGAAAATGCACGATGAAGCTACTACAAACACCCCGGTATTATACAACTGTTGATCAGAGCGGCCGCTCAAGACGCTACGCAAGAGTTAGGGCTCCTAACTACCAGTCGGAAACAGCAACCAGAGAACTGTCAACCGTGTACCCTCAGAATGAAGAGGTGATGCCACAGTGTTCCCCAAGGCTCCATCCTTGGCCCCACTCTTTTCCTTATTTTCATCAACGACCTTCCTGACGCCATAGATTCCCAAGTTGGCATCTACGCGGACGACACTACAATTTACTCCTGTCTCAAAAACAAATCTAGTGTCGGCGACAAAACTAACCTGGACGTGCGTCTTGAAATGGACCTCCAATCGGTTGTTAACTGGGGCAAGAATTGGCTGGTCAACTTTAACGCCTCAAAAACGAAACTACTCTCTATTAATCACCATAGAGATCCTTCCCTCCCCCCCATTAAAATGTCTGATAGTCAACTTCCTGAAAGCAACTCCCTGAGTCTGCTCGGTCTCACGTTGACTGCTGACCTGAGATGGAACAAATATATTGAGTCAATTGCTTCTTCCACCGCGAGGAAAGTTGGCTCTCTGTGCCGCGCCAGGAAATTTTTCTCCCCTGAATCGATACTTCAAATATACAAAACAACCATTCGCCCTTGCATGGAGTATTGCTGCCATATATGGTCTGGGGCACCTTCTGCTTACCTCGGAGTTCTTGACAAGATCCAGAGACGGATATGTAATATAATTGGCCCTGATCTGGCGTCTCGTCTGCAGTCACTCTCTCATAGACGCGCCGTCGTCTCTCTCTGTCTTTTCTACAAATACTTTCATGGTAATTGCTCCGATGAGCTGCTTTCACTGGTTCCCAGACTCCATGAATTCAAGCGCCCTACGAGGCTGGCATCGCGCTCCCACCCTTACACTATAGAAATTTTTAAATGTAGCCGTCTCTTCTACTCCAATAGCTTCATACCTCGCACCTCTCGCCTGTGGAACTTCCTTCCTAATTACCGTTTCCCTGAAAGCTATAATCTCCAACTATTCAAATGTAATGTCAATCGACACCTCCAGTTACCTTGATCTACCCACTATCCCTCTCCTCATCCTTTCTTCTATCACTCCTATCTGCTCTTGCTCCAAATCTTCTGCAACCCCCTGCATCCTAGTGGCATCACGCCTTTCTCGGGGCGTAATGCTTAAAAAAAAAAGAAAAGAAACGATGATGGGAAAGTAACTGAAGCCGAGATGTCAGGTCAGGATCAATAACATTGCAGCAAGAATCTCTATAAACATAGCAGAAGCACCAAACCAGATGCACTTACGGCCACATCACATTGAAGCACCGGTTCCCGTATGATCACCAAAATTAAGTAACGCCGACAGTGGTCAGTGCCTAGATGGATAACCGTTTGGAAATACCAGGTGCTATGAGCTTGAATGTGCGGCTGGTAATATAGAAAATGGTTCGGAATTGTTAATTGGAGAGCTGAGTTCCAATTCCTGTTGATTTCGTTATATTCCCTTACGTTAAAATAGCCTTGGTAGTGGTTTGAATCTCCCTACCCCCAGTTATGGGTTAATTAGTAAGATTGTATCAATAAAACATTATTATCTCAAAAAAAGAATTTACAGCCTAAAAATATTTTCTGACCATAAATAACCTGCAAAGGTTTGATAAACCGTAGAAAATGAATCAAACAATCAATAAAACCAAATCACATGTGACGGCAATATTCTAATCGTGGATGAATGGTAGACTTATAAATGTGTAAGATTTTTTCGAGAAAAATTATCTAGCACTACGCAGTGAACCATTTTTTTTTAAAATAGCAAACTTAACAATTGATTCAATAGAATTATTCCACTTCATGTCAGCGGAAAATATTATCCAGAGAGTCATTCTTCTTGTGATTAGCATCAACCATGTTGATGGAAGGCAAGAAATATTCACTTAGACGATTAAAAGAGAGCAGTTTTGTTTTGTTTATTTTCTTTATAGAAAAGACACAGAGAAGCTGCGTTACAATCATAGGGGAAAATGACTGAAGCCGAGATGCCAGGTCAGAATCAATAACACTGCAGATTTTTATTTGGATTTTATAAAAACAGTGTATCCCAAGGAATTTGATATCATTTCGCAGGCCAATAATTTTGGCAATTCTTGTTGAAATAACCCCAAATTTTCACAGAATGCATGTTACAGCAAGTGAAATGTAACTGAAGCCGAGATGCCAGGTCAGGATCAATAACACTGCAGATTCTTATTTGGATTTTATAAATACATAGATGCATCAGACCAGATATGGCAGAAATATTTAATACATAGACAAATGGTAGACTTATAAATATGTAAGATAGATTCTAGTGAGAAAAATTGTCTAGCACAATACGGTGAATGAAGTTTCCTGGGACGAGACCGAGCAATTGAATCGATAGAATCGTTTCATTTCATGTCCAGGGAAAATGTTAACCCAAGAATGTGTAATGACTTATTCTCCTGGAGGTTAGCATCAGCCATACTGAAGGGAAGTAAAAAAAAAAAAGATTAAGAGATTCGTATCTGTCTAAATTCGTATACCTCACGCTAATGGCTTATTATTCATAAATCTGAAAATATATAGACAGAAAAAGGTTTTGTCATGTGCTTAAAGTAGTTTTATTTAATACAAAGCTAATGTCTAATAAACGCAATATATACGCAAGCAACAATATTTTAATAATTTCAAAGATGCATATATATACATATAAATATATAGTTGTATATTTAGGCAGCAATCCTTCGTTTATGCATGTTTCATTAAAAACGACAGACAAGTTTCTACGGTTAAGCTTTTCATTTAATTTTTCTTGTGTTCGAACAAGAGCTTTCTTTTCTGGACAAAGTGTGTGTAAAAACTGTCCAAATGTTATATAGTTCCGAGTGCTTTCAGCTATACTTTTAGCCATTATCAAGGATGATTCAATTTTTTTCAGCTTAAGTGAGTGTGTGCATTATGTGTATGTTTTAGTGTGTTGTAGAGATGTTTTAATTTCCGAATACGGTTAGCACATTGTGGCCTTGTTCGTAGTTAATATTGTTGAGAGTTAGCTTAATTCTTTTTTTATTATTTAAGCTTCCATTATTTTTAATCTTTTTTTACAAGTGGATGAAGTTATCATAGTTGTGTTTTCTACAAATATGTTTCTAATGGAGTCTGGTAAGTTTGTGTGTGTGTTTAAATGGGTTCTAATGGAGCTGTAGTCAGATAGGTGTAACGTAAGGCGTCTGGATAAGGATGTGGTTGTGTGACCGATGTAATTATTTATGAGTCCGGTTTGATCAAGAACACAGTTCCTTAAGGGGCATTTGAACTCATAGATAATGTTCGTTCTTTGTCATTTTGACTTCGTTGGTGTGTTGTTATTTTTGAGGATAAGGTTGGCTGTCTTAAATTTTTTTATAATAGATAATTAATTTGATTTTTTTTATTCGGGTCAATTGGGGTAGTGTATTTCTTTATAATATGCCTTAGAGAAGATTCGTCTTGTTTGTAATTAATATGCATTTGGTTTTTGTAATAAATGTGTATGTGATTTTTTGGCTGTGTGTTCGCTATCGTTATTACTTACTTTGGGGAGAAAGTCTAATTTGGTGGTCTATAAGGTGGTTAGGGAATATATATATATATATATATATATATATATATATATATATATATATGAAAAGTGTATATAAATATAAATAAATATATATGTATAATTATTTATATATTATATGCGCGGTATTTATTAGAAAGCGTTCAATATCAGAGATAGAGCTAACATTGTCTGACGATCGCTAAAGCGTGAAACCCAGGGTCACAAACTCACATCTATCCAACCAAAATATATATATATATATATATATATATATATATATATGTGTGTGTGTGTGTGTGTGTGTTTAAGATAGATTCTGGTGAGATAAAATGTCTAGCACAATACGGTAATCCAAATTTCCTTGCAACAGATATAATAAGCCCGCCACACATGCTCACATAGTCTAACTCTTTATCGCTGTTTCATTCTCGTCATCTCTCTAGTTCACCATTTGAATGAACACTTTATCTTAGAAATAATTTATAATCTCGCTTAGACACTCTCACTCTCCACGCACGCACAAACGTACAAACATAACTTTATTTTCACTCTGCAACCCTCTACCTCGACTGGCTTTTGGGCCTTGCCATTACTGTGACGAAGAAATTCTACTACAGTCGACAAGTTCCCGAACGTGATCTCCCGTACACATGCTTACACGCTGTCTCTCTCGCTCAGTCTTTCTCACTTTCTCTCGCTTAATAACGGTTATGCACTCTCTCCCTTCGCAACTTGAAATCGTTCACTTAAACGCATCAGGTCGCTCTTTGACGAGCGATGCGTTCAGTAACCACACACACATTCTGTTTAACTTACTACAATCTGAAAAACATACGCCAGATTTCTTCTTCTTCTTCTTCTTCTTCTTCTTCTTCTTCTTCTTTCTGCCGTGTCTCTTTCATGACGTTGGCGATCATAGCTCTCCACAGCTTCCTGACCTTTGTAGCTCTTCGTAAAGTTTGTCACTTTGCTATCACTCCTAATTCCTGTTCTGCCAACCATTTACACAAATTCGTTTTCTCTTGTTCTCTGTGCCATGTCCCTTTAAGATGTACGTGATCAAGGCTCTCCACGACTTCCTCTCATTTGTAGCTCTTAGTAAAGTTTGTCTTTTTCCTATCTCTCCTAATTCCTGTTCTGCCAACCATTTACAGAAACTCGTTTTCTCTTGTTCTCTGTGCCGTGTCCCTTTAAGATGTACATGATCAAGGCTCTCCACGACTTCCTCTCCTTTGTAGCTCTTAGTAAAGTTTGTCTTTTTCCTATCTCTCCTAATTCCTGTTCTGCCAACCATTTACAGAAACTCGTTTTCTCTTGTTCTCTGTGCCGTGTACCTTTAAGATGTACATGATCAAGGCTCTCCACGACTTCCTCTCCTTTGTAGCTCTTAGTAAAGTTTGTCTTTTCCTATCTCTCCTAATTCCTGTTCTGCCAACTATTTACAGAAACTCGTTTTCTCTTGTTCTCTGTGCCGTGTCCCTTTAAGATGTACATGATCAAGGCTCTCCACGACTTCCTCTCCTTTGTAGCTCTTAGTAAAGTTTGTCTTTTTCCTATCTCTCCTAATTCCTGTTCTGCCAACTATTTACAGAAACTCGTTTTCTCTTGTTCTCTGTGCCGTGTCCCTTTAAGATGTACATGATCAAGGCTCTCCACGACTTCCTCTCCTTTGTAGCTCTTAATAAAGTTTGTCTTTTTCCTATCTCTCCTAATTCCTGTTCTGCCAACTATTTACAGAAACTCGTTTTCTCTTGTTCTCTGTGCCGTGTCCCTTTAAGATGTACATGATCAAGGCTCTCCACGACTTCCCTCTCCTTTGTAGCTCTTAGTAAAATTTGTCTTTTCCTATCTCTCCTAATTCCTGTTCTGCCAACTATTTACAGAAACTCGTTTTCTCTTGTTCTCCCGTGTTTTAAGATGTACTGTTCTGCTTTGTAGCTCTTAGTAAAATTTTTTTCTATCTCAGAAACCTGTTTTGCCAACTATTTACAGAAACTCGTTTTCTCTTGTGCCGTGTCCCTTTAAGATGTACATGATCAAGGCTCTCCACGACTTCCTCTCCTTTGTAGCGATAGTAAAGTTTTTCTTTTTGCTATCTCTCCTAATTCCTGTTCTGCCAACCATTTACAGAAACTCGTTTTCTCTTGTTCTCTGTGCCGTGTCCCTTTAAGATGTACATGATCAAGGCTCTCCACGACTTCCTCTCCTTTGTAGCGATAGTAAAGTTTTTCTTTTTGCTATCTCTCCTAATTCCTGTTCTGCCAACCATTTACAGAAACTCGTTTTCTCTTGTTCTCTGTGCCGTGTCCCTTTAAGATGTACGTGATCAAGGCTCTCCACAACTTCCTCTCCTTTGTAGCTCTTAGTAAAGTTTGTCTTTTTGCTATCTCTCCTAATCCCATTTCTGCCAACCATTTGCCAGGTAGGTAATTCACTGATTTCCTCTGTCCCTCTTGGTTTCAGTATATCCTCTGAATGTCAACTTTTCTCATTATGTCCCCCGAGGAATTTCACTTATTTCGTTCTGATTCTAAGTTTCTCTAAAACTTCGTCGTTGTAAATATTCTCAGCATCCTTCTGTAGAACCATATTATTGTTGTCCCCAGTCTATTCTTCATCTATAATGAGATTGTTCCGCATTCACTGCCATATAGAAGTACTGATATAACGTAACATTTCAGTTCACTTTTCTGTGTTTCAAACGAAATTTTCCTCTTTCTTAATACTTTACTTACCTTTTGGAAGGCATCTTTTACTATCTCAATGCGCCTTTGGATCTTTTCCTTCCTCTGTTAAAACATTTCCGCATCCTGGGTATGACGATAAACTACACCATCGTCCTGGGTATAACGATAAACTACATCCAACAGCAAGGCCTCTGATCAGGAGGTTTTGAGGATCGTGGAACCACCTCTTAATTGCTGGTGTTCCAAGGTTCATCTTGACGCTGGGTGGTAGCACCAGTTAAGGTCCAGCTCTGGACAAATAGTTAACCCCCAAACTGGCATTAAAAAAAACTATGAAAGTGTAAAAATAGATTTAGATAACAGCAATTAATTTTTGGAGGAAAAATTATTCACAGAAATGCAATTCTAAAAAAAGAAATATTACCAGCAATAAAAATTTTGTTGTTATTATATAACCCATTGAGGTGTTGATATGCCATATAACAAACAAACAAACAAAAACATTTCCTAGGTATTTAAGTTGTTGTATTTGTTTCAGCTTGGTGTCCCCACTTTGTAATTCGGATGTTGGGCTGTGCCTTTTTGCTGACAACTATGCATTCTGTCTTCTTAAAATTGATGTTTAGTCCTTTCTTCTAGCTTTCCTTTAATACCTTCTGCAGGCTTTGCTGTCGTACAGCATCTGCTATCAACACTGCCCTCTTTTTTATCAAACTAAGCTATGTCTTGTACTCTGCATGGTCTGGAAATCACATAACAACCCAGACATCTTCTTCTTCTTCTCCTTTCTCCTCCCCCTCCTCCTACTTCTTCTTCTTCTTCTTCTTCTTCTTATTATTATTATTATTATTATTTCTCCTCCTCCTCCTTCTTCTTCTTCTTACCCAACTCATCCCCTCCTCCTCCCTATTTTTCTTTCTCCTCCTCCTCTTTCTTCTTCTTCTCATCCCCCTCCTCCTTTCTCTTCTTCTTTCTCCTCCTCCTCCTTCTTCTCTTTCTTCTTCTTCCTCTCCTCATCCCCATCCCCCTCCTCCTCCTCCTCCTTCTTCTTCTTCTTCTTCTTCTCTTTTCTCCCCCTCCTCCTTTTCCTTCTCCTTCTTCTTCTTCTTCTTCTTATCCCCTCCTCCTCCTCCTTCTTTTTTCCCTCCTCATCCCTCCTCCTTTTTCTTTCTCCCCTCCTCCTCCCCATCCCCTTCTTCTTCTTCTTTTTCTTCTTCTTCTTCTTCTTCTTCTTCTTCTTTGTGCTTTATCTTTCCAGGACGTTGGCGATTATAGTTCTCCACGCGTAATAGTCAGGGGCTTCAAAATCAGGAAGGCGACATGAGGTGACATGATCGTGAAAATTCTCAGTCAATCACTTTTGGTTCATGTCGGCCCTGTGTTAAAGTGGATGTTTAGCCCCTCCTCTCGTTGTCGGCGGTTGCATTGATCGTGAGACCCTCCGAGAAGTGGGGGAACATGACATGGCCTTCGTTGCTCGCATCCATCACGTCTGTTGCAGACGGTGTTAACTTGGCCAGCATCAGCGTGGGTACCTATGTGGTATCAGCGCAGAACCAGCTGCCGTTCTTCCAGTTCACCCAGACGCATTCAAGAGGGTGGCTATCCCCCTCAAATCGTTCTAGTTACCGGCTCGTACTGCGATCGCAGTAATGCCTTTTCCTTTCCGAGAAGCTTCCACCGTTTAATGCTATCGATGTGTCTGAAAGAGAAACGAAAAGGTCAAATCTACGCGCTGGGCGCACAACATTACGTGAGGTAGTCTTCCATTTGTCGTTCGCTGAAGCTTTGTCCTCAAATAGCTGGCGCACACTGTGTATGCTCGCCACATGCATAGGTTCGATCGCGCGCTCAAACACAGAGAGACAGACAGACTGAGAGATTTATCTATAAAATCTTTATATTTTAGTGAAAACCCAATCTGCTGATTATTTAGGGTCTTGGACAGCACTAAAAGTTTGGAGTGGGATGGGCTCCGCCCGGTCTACTTTTCCCAAGAAACGCTACACACGAATGAATACTATCGGGTCATTATTTACATGCAGACTAATGTCCCCATCATGTTATTATTATCAAAACGTTTCGACCATTTTGCCCCGCCCCGGACTTCATCCTGTGATTCTCGATCCGGGTTAACGTCAAGGAATATCGTCTTGCCTAACATAGATGATTTACATAATTTCTGACTGAATTACTGAGATGAAAAGTTATCATTACTTGCATTATTTACACTCGGACGAATGTCCTCATCTTTCGACCATTATACATCCACCGGGCTTCTCCCGCGGTCTGCGGATGAAAGCTTTGGTACATTACTTAAGTCGCTTAGTAATTGTGGCGGCCCTGTCGGCTGGGGCTGTAAAATACGCCGACTGTACCTCTGCAGAGGAGTAAGACCCCCCCCCCGCCAATGGGGCGTCCTGGGTATGACGATAAACTACATCCGCGTCCAGGGTAAGAAGATAAACTACGTCCAACAGCAAGGCCTCTGATCAGGAGGCTTTGAGGAGCGTGGAACCACCTCTTAATTGCTGATGTTCCCAAGTTCGCCCTGATCCGAGGTGGTAGCACCTGTTAGGGTCCCAGCTATGGGCAAATAGTTAACCCAGAAACTGAGGTGAAAGTCATTATAAAAGTGTAAAAATAGGTTTTAATACCAGAAATACTTTGTAAAAAATTTTTACCAGAAATAAATTTTTGAAGAAAAAGAAATATTACCAGCAATATGTTTTTGAAAAAAATATTACTAGCTATACATTTTTGAAAAAAAATAATATTACCAGCTACACGTTTTTGAAAAAATAATATTATCAGCTATACATTTTTGAAAAAATATTACCAGCTATACATTTTTGAGGAAAAAATTTTTTAACAGAAATAGATTTTTGACAAAACAAAAATATTACCAGGAAAAAAAAAAGTTGTCGGCATTAAATGGCTGCATGTAATTAATTAATTAATTAATTGTCTGCATGTAATTCCCAGAAGTCTTCCCGCACACCTGATAGAGGATGGAGAGAAAAACAGCCGAAACGTTGTGATAATAGCAACATAGATGAGGATATTAGTCCACCATTAGATACTGTATATTGTATCGGTATAACTTAATAAATATTTAAAATCTGTTCGTCCTGGGTATGACGATTAACTTCCACGGAGCGAGTTCTTCACAGTTCGAGCGGACCGCTACTCTAGACAAAAGCGTTTATAGGTGTGGGCAAATGGGAAGTGATGACCTTCGAAAAAAATGTCTGGATCAACTTCCAACTGTTCTTTCAGTTTACGACAAGCATCCTTTCAGCCACGGTAAAAATAGACGAAAAGGCGTGAAGCACTTCAAAACAAATGTGAACCACGGAGCAGTACGTCTTTCCACGATGACACCAGTTAGCACACTGATGCCTGAGGGTTGCCTTAAGTGGCATCTAGCGGTCGAAGCCTGAAATACTACGGGCTTAACACACAGAAAACGATTCCGGTTATTTCTGGGTCCTCCTTGTACGTTCGAAATTCCCAGAAGTCTTCCCGCACACCTGATGAAGGATGGAGCAAAAAACAGCCGAAACATTGTGATAATAGCAACATAGATGAGAATATTAGTCCAAATATAAATAAGGTAATTATAGTTACGTAATCACATATCTGTTTTGTTAGGGAAGAATACTTTTTTTATATTAATCTTCAGGTTAATAACTGAACGGACGTATATTTTGATTGTAAAATAAGATGTAAGCTTAGACTTTTCCCTCATAGAAGTTAATATCAGCTATCATCATCTATTTTTGTATCAAGGCTGCTAAAAACCAAAAAACAAAAAAAAAAAAAAAAACAGCTCTTTTTTGGGACCCGCTTTGACAGGGACCAGGCCGTTTTAAAATCTCAACTATAATCTATTACCAGTATCTTTTCTCCCGGTAGTGACCTGCCCCTCTTTGATGAACGACTGGTCTTTCTCAAATGTTTGCCTCTCCTTGGAAGTGCAAGTGAGTACGAAAGCATGAAGACCTCCCCAGGATGGCCCCGCCTTACGCTCCTCTCTAGCTGCTTTCCAACAGAAAGTGGGTTGCGAGTTCTTCACAGGTCGGGCGGACCTCTACTCTAGACAAAAGCGTTTATAGGCGTGGGCAAATGGGAAGTGATACGGAATTCAGATATTTTACCATTTATTCTTTTCTTACACTTTGTTTTCCCTTTCAACCCCACTTCAACAGGGTCTCTTCCTTTTGACCCCCAAACTTAAGAATAATGGTTTCTGGGATGGAACCCTACCGGTGTAAGCACCGATGTAAATCTATATAACGCTACGACGTCGTGCCTGTTGTGTTTGAATAGTCTGGGCGTTGTTACGATATGCACGGCTTAACTTTCTAAGTAATTGAGCTCTTTTAGGATGGATGGCCAAAGATTTTTTTTCTCGGTCATTAAGTACTTCGAATTGGACTGTAAATTTCCTATGTTTCACGTTGACTATTATTAAGAACGTTTCAGTCTGGGATTTTCAGTGGTGGTGTTATTGTTTCTGTTAGCATTAATGTTTTGGGGAAAGGCATGAGTTCACATCCCTGCGATTTGCCCTCCTTGTAAGCGTCTGGAAAAACTCTCTCGTTGTTGGTATGCTGCAATAATTGCTAGGGAAGTGTGTGGGTTAGTAAGCACTGAGAGAAACCGTTTTATGTAATGCCATCTCAGGATATATGCAAATTATAGCTCACCACAGCTTCCTTTAATTTATTATTTTGAATTGCCATAACTTTTTGCTAAACAAAATGGTATTAAATTCTAAGTCGTCCTTCTTCTAGACTGTCCGCCACCCAAGGTTAGACAGACCATTTTACCCTGCTATTTAACACATAGCTGTTGAGGAGTAGAAGAGATGAGTTTAGAACTTTCCCAGGGATATCAGTGCAAGGTTACGCGAATAGCCAGGAATTGAACACAGCTGTCCGATTCCGTTTTCGACCCCAATAACCATTACGTCGAAATTTTCCATAAAGGAAGTAAATAAATTTTCTGAACTAATTCTGGATAATGTCTATTTTTGGTGGTTAAATACTGTATGAATAAATTGTTCATTTCAAAACATAAACTAACTGATCGTTATATAATGAACTAGCAGCTATACCCTGCTGGTCGATCAGAAAATTAGAATGGAGCAAAAACAGCATCATATTTAGATGTAACAGAGTCTATCTTCAATTACTTTAAAGTACTTTCATTAAAAAACATTTTGAATTAATGCAGTTATTGATCTAACCGAAGTAATCTGTATTTATTCAATCAAAGTTAGCTGAGGACATGAAGGGGTAAAACAAGCAACATGAAGACCCACTTCAGAGCACAATTATTTTGGAGTTTTTGAAATTCAATTTTTCAGTGTGCTACCAGGGATGTAAAAGAGGATATATTTATAAAGCATTTGTTAAGTTTGATGAAAATTGGTTGAAAGTTCAACGAAAAATAAGAAAGAATCTAGTAAAAATCACCATTTTTCGGTATTTACGCAGATTTTCACTAAATGGGTGCATTCAAATATCAAGTTAAATGACTGTTAAACAATCAACTTATTGTTGCTTACAATTGAGTGAAGTTTGTATTAGATTGCTTGAAAATTGCGGGAGTTTTTAGTTTAAAATTTATATTGAAATCGATTCGTGTTGAAATCGATTATTCGTTTTTCGCGGTTTTTTTCGCTAAACGCAATGGCGTAGAAACAAAAATGAGGTCCCGTTGAGCGCATTATTATAAGTAACTTACCGAGTTTGAACGAAATTGGGGGAAAAGGTTGAATTTATCGAATTTTGATCGGCTTTATCGAGTACTGATTTTTTTTTTAAATTATCGATTTTTTATGCCAAGAACGTATCTCTTACATTGCACAATATATGTGACAAGTTCAAGTGGTCAAAATCGGTTAGATGGATCTCGAGTGAAAAGGTATCACACAGAGATCCTCTATCTTATATAGAGAGATTAACGGATCATCAAAATGCGGCATACAAGTCGACCTCAAGGGTTTTAGCTCAAATTCTGAATTTGGCTTACATCTACCTTATAGATCGACCACAAATGATACGGTAGGCCACCAGTGGCCCAAAACTTAGACCTACCGGCAAAGGAAATTCAGCTACAATATACGATAATCTGTGCCAAAACAGTATAAGGTCACACTACTTACTTGTAGATACAAACCATAATATAAATTTATATGCGTTGTACTGCATACAGCCTACAACACACACCACAAGATACTGTATATTGTATCGGTATAACTTAATAAATATTTAAAATCTGTTCGTCCTGGGTATGACGATTAACGACATCCAGCAGCAAGGTCTCTGATCGGATGATTGGTGGTTTTGGTTGCTGCTGTTCCCAGGTCCACCCTGACTTGGGGTAGTAGCATCTGTTAGGGTCCCAGCTATGGGCAAATAGTTAACCCCCAAACTGGGGTCAAACACGATGAAAATATCAAAATACATTTTCATATTGAAAATACCAGCAATGCATTTTCATAGTAAAAAATTGCCAGCAATATATTTTTGTAATGAGATTTACTAACGCTTCCCGCAAAATTAAATTTCGGCATTAAATAACCCATAATGTGTTGATATACTGCTAAACAAACAAACAAAAACATTTAAAATTCGTCGGGTCTGTTGATAAACGCATTAAAATCAACATCAACTGGCAGATGGCGAATGCCTGAATGGCCGCTTGAGTTAAACGACGCTTCGGCCAGTGTATCAGCGGCTGGACGCGATGTGCGCTGTAGTGTCAAAAGAACACTGAATTTGTGTTACTATTTTATTAATTTTTTATTATTTTTTTAAATTAATTTCTGTGTTAATGTGCCAAATATGTTAACCAAACACAAGTTTTAGTGGGGTCTTTTTATGGCAGCCTGCTGGTGTTAAGTGGTGTCAGTCAGTTATGTGCCATGCGTGATACACGCAATAATATGATAATTATATAATAATATAATTGATAATATGACTGACGAGGCAGATTTTTCCCGCAGTAGGTTGCCATTTCTTTCTGCGGTAGACCAGTTTCAATTCAAGGATATAGAACCCGGTCTGTCCTGCTATTTATCCATAGCGGCGAGGGAGGAAGATTTCGCAAAGGTATTAGCACGTAAGTGAATGCAATGGATTCGACTGGAATTTGAACTCGGCATTCCGATTCCTCAATCCGAGCGGCTGTCCATTACTCCACCGTGCATCCTTACACCGGTAAGTGATGTACAGTAATTGTTAAGAGTGTTGTCCGACTTGTTTACAACTCACTAATAAAGGTTTGCGTTTTATACCCGCTATATAAGTCGAGGCCTAGTTTTGGAAATATTTTTAAGCTTGAAAACTCGACTTGTACAACATAATTTATGGTAATATAAACTAACTGATGCTTATATATTATATATTGTCACGATTTAGTCAACATTTGAAGCGATTTGGTGATCCTACCTAGATTTGCTATCGGTGGGCACACACTTAACAATATTCTATATGCAGGTGACACTGCACACAGTAGGCACAGAAAAAAACAGCAGATACAGTTAAATAATGTAGTAAAGGAAAGCGGGAAGAAAAGACTAACCACCAAATGTAAGAAGACAGAATGTATGGTGGCCAATCAGCGAAAAAGCTGAAACTAGCAGATATATAACAAGCCACTATTATTTTCTTTATTTTCCATCTCTTAATACTTAGCTAAGTTTCTCTTTTTTATATATTATACAAGGCCCAATAGCCACTCAAGTAGAGGGATACTAAATGTGGTTGTTCTAGAGGCGCACACGGAGATCATAGGTGATGTATTATGAGGATATATACGATAGATGCGTGTAAGGAATAGTGACTCGGGATGAGAAATCGGTGGGATGAATTCAAATTCTAGTCGGATTTCGTTTATGCACAAATAGCCTTGGGAAAGTTAAGAATCCATTTCTTCTCCATGGTAATGACAGGCTAGGTTCTATAGTCTTGATTGACAACCAATCTAACGCAGAAAAAAACGGCAAACTAATGCGGGAAATTCTGCTACCTAAACAGTCATCAATCGAAAGAGACATGATCACCAAAGATTACCTTTTTCATTACCTTATGAGTTGGAACTAGAAATCTCAACTGTAAAAATGATGAGACCTAGTTGCTAATCTAGTACTGCGCTTGAATTTGTAAAAACAAGGTACGAAAGAGGAAAGCTAATCAGCTAATTGGGAAAGAGACTGACTGAAGCCGAGATGCCAGGTCAGGATCAATAACATTACTGATTCTTCTTTGGAGTGTGTCAAGAATCTCTAAATACATAGCAAAAGCACTAGACCAGATGTAACAGCAATATTCGATACACAGACGAGATTTGTAAATGTATAAGATAATCAGGTCTCGAAGCAGCAGACCGAACCTTTGCTTCAATAAAATTGTCCCACTTCAATGTCAGTGGAAAACGTTAGCCTGAGAAGGCGCAATAAATTATTCTCCTGGAGGTTAGCATCAGCCATATGCAGATGTAAGGCAAAAAAAGTTACTCTCAGACGATTAAAAGAGAGCAGTTTCGTTTTGAAGCGTTAAAATTAACATCAGTTTAGATTAAGAGAATTTCAATAAAGTAAAGTATTATTGGTTTCTTTACCATAAGTGCATTCAATAATACATTCGCTTTTATATAGTGTATTTATGAGATCAATTACATTAATGTTGTTCCGGATATTTAAGTAAGGTATCTTTCGGGTAGGATATGTCCTGGATTCTAAGAATTATAAGAAAAGGTTGGCTAAAACATCGCTTGTAATTGTTGCAATGAGCTTTCTGTATGAAAATGGGCTTCAGAGTCACGTGATATCACTTCTATAGAGCACTTTTGGGGTGTGGTAGAAAGGAAGGATTGGGTCCGCAGTGTGTGGGAAAGAAATGTTTTTTAAATGACACTGAACGCGACACGTTCAATGGCGTAGACGGACCGGTTTAAGTATTTTAAAAATTGTTGGCCTACTGTGATTTTTATACACAGCCATCTCTTGAGTTTACAGAGAATAATCGGGAAAAGAATGAAATCCATCGAGCAGCAATTCTGCAGCCAGAAGTCCCTTGTTGATGACAGAGATCGTAGGAAAATAGCCAGATTCGTTCAAATTTTTTATTTTTATTTATTTATTTATTGAAATTATTTCACCTCCAAGCATAGCGGTAATGTCACTAGTATGCAGAGGTTTACAAGGGGTCATAGTGAAAGTGAAAGAGAAGACTGCGAATAGGGAGGATTGAGGAAAGCACAACAAGATGGTATTTGACCTTGCATTTAAATTTTTGATGATTGTATTTATCAGGGAAGCAAAGAAACAGAAAAGATTCCAACAGGTGAGAAGTGCGAGAAAAGAAACTGTTGGAGTAGAAGGGGTGGCTGCATTTGTGGAGAATTTGATTGTTCAGGCGGGAGAAAAAAATCACTGTACTTACCTGGGTTGTTGTTCTATACTAACTAAAAGTGGTTACGTTTGTACTAAATTTTTATAGTAACAGTTAATTGTTTCGAGAAGCTGCATTCGCTGGTTCCCAGACATCATGAGTTCAAGCGCCCTACGAGGCTGGCATCCCGCTCTCACCCTTTCACTGTCGAAACTACTAAATGTAACCGTCTCTTCTACTCCAATAGCTTCATGTCTCGCACCTCTCGCCTGTGGAACTCCCTTCCCTATTCCAGTTTCCCTGAGAGCTATAATCTCTAACTATTCAACTGTAATGTCAATCGACATCTCCATTTGCCTTGATCTATCCAATATCCTTCTCCTCATCCTTTCCTCTATCACTCCTATCTGATCTTGCTCCAAATCTTCTGTAACCCCTTGCGTCCTAGTGGCTTCCCGCCTTGCTTGGGGTGAAACACTTAAAAAAAAAAAAACAAAAAAAAAAAACAGGGGTCACGTGACTTTATTACCACGTGATCCCTGAAGTCGATATAAGGGAAGTGTTTTTTTTTTTCCTTTTTATTCTTATATTTACTTAATGCAAATTACTAGATGGACACGTTACGTCGCAGAAAGTTGCCAATCTAGTACCACGCTTAAATTCATGTAGGGAATCGGGAGGGGGGCGAGCTTGTCAGAGCAGTTGCCATGATAATATTTGTAGACATGGAAGCCACATCACGTCAATGAGAAAGTGACTGAAGTCGAGATAGCTGGTCAGGATAGATTACATTACAGATCCTTCTTTGGAGATTGTCATTGGCACCAGGCCCGATATGGCAACAATATTCAATGCACAGTGGCAACACTCTTTTTAATACAACACTTTGAATACACAACGCATAATAAGCAATTGGTCTACAGCAGCTTATCGTCTTCCTTAATGTCTTTTTAGTGTAGTCGCACTGGGTCTTGTTGTCTGTTGTTTATCCTCATGTCATCCGTCTTCTCGATGTTGATTTGGAGGCCAGTCTTCTCCGCTTCTTCTGCAACACGACTCGTCTTCTCCTGTGCATTTTTGTTGTGGAAGACAAGATTGATGTCCTCTGCGTAGTCCAGATCTTCCAGCTGCTTCATAAAGGTCCACTGTAAACCAGTTCTCCTGCCTGCCTTGGCCTGCCGCATTATCCAGTAGGATGATCGTCGGCGACAGCAGGCATCCATGACGAACGCCAGTTTGGACGAAGAATGGTTCCGTTAGCTTCCAGTCATGGATGACTTGACAGGGGGCATTATTCATACAGTTGTTGGATGATGGTGGAAAGCTGTAGTGCTGCATCAGTCTCCAAATGATGTCTTTGTCGACACTATCAAAAGCTTTCTTCGACGAAGACTGAGTAACGGAAGTTTGCCATTCTTCGGCCAACCATTTACACAAACTCGTTAGGAAGATTATTTCTTGCTTTCCTCTGTCCGTCTTGCGATTAACATGCCCTGTGAGTGACAGTTTTTTTGGATTTCGTCAAGGTCACCAAACCCGATATGGCAACGATATTCAATGCACAGTGGCAACACTCTTTTTATACAACAGAGTATCTTTGAATACACGACCCATCAAATCTGTAAGCAATTGGTCTACAGTAGCTTATCGTCATATTACCAGCACAATGTTTAGGAAAGAATTAATGAAATGTTGGCGTTATGCAAGGGTTACGGCCACATCACGTTGAAACACTAGTTCTCGTGCGATCACAAAAGTTAACCAACGTCGAGCTTGGTCAGTACCTAGATGGGTAACCGTTTTCGGAATACCAGATGCTGGAATCTTTGGATGTGAGGGTGATGTAATTGATAGCGGCTCCGATGAGAAATCAGAAGGCTGAGTTTCACTTCCAGTCGGGTTCAATTACGATGTTTCCCTTACGCGCAAATAACGTTGGGAAAAAGGATTAATCTACCTTTTCTCCCCTCTCTATGGGTTAAATAGTAGGACTTGCATCAGAAATACCGTATTATCTTAAATAATTATCACAATCTCTAAAAAATGTTCTCGCTATAAATAAACTACAAAGGTTGATAAACCGTAAAAAAACATATTGGCTGTTTTAGCACAAGTCTTGTATTTTAACGTATTTTTATTGCTTAACTTTTCATTTTTCTTTTATTAATAATTATATTGGTTCCAGCTTACTCCATAGTCGGGCGGCAGAATTAATTTCAACTTGGAATTAATTTAAACTCGGAACTAAGGGTTAGGGTTAGGGTTTTTAAATCGAGTTGCAATTAGTTCCGAGTTGAAATTAGTTCCGAATTGAAATTAATTATGAGGTGAAATTAGTTCCAACTTGAAATTAGTTCCGAGTTGAAATTAATTCGGAGGTGAAAATAATTCCGAATTGAAATTAATACCGAGGTGAAATTAGTTCCGAATTGAAATTAATTCTGAGGTGAAATTATTTCCAATTTGAAATTAGTCCTAAATTGAAATTAATTCCGCGGTGAAATTAGTTCCAACTTAAAATTAGTTCCGAGTTGAAATTAATTCCGAGGTGAAATTAATTCCGACTTGAAATTAGTTCAGAGCTGAAATTAATTCCGAATTGAAATTAGTTCCGAGTTGAAATTAGTTCTGTCATTCTCATTGTCTACTAATAGGGATTGGAGGTTTATTTAGCAATTTATTTATTACTACAGGCTCATTAATGTTTCATAGTTATCCTCGACCTGATAATTAGAACTTCGAAAGATATTAGAACGAGATATATGAAAATATGTTCTGACTGAATTTCTGAAAAGTGGAGTTATCATTATTTACATTATTTACATAAAGACTGTTGTCTTCATTTATGTTCTTATAATAGTAACAACTACAACAAAGATAAGGAGAATCGTCCTAGTGAATAATATAAATAACATGAAGTCGACGAAGATGTGGATATAAATTCGAAAAGTCAGTGTATAATAATTAGTATGAATGAATAAGCTTTTTAAAAAACAAACAAAATCAGTATATAAATCAAGTAGAATCCTTGTTTAATAACAAGCATAGCGAGATGATTCTAAAAGAGCCTGCCTGGACATAATCTTAACCGCACACGATACGCGGGTGTCTGTGTTGACACCAGAGTCGGAGAGAAAACTGAAAAAAGCTATTAGACAAGGCAAATAAAAGCAAGAAAAGGGGACTAAACCCGGATATAAGAGAAACCCGGATATAAGAGAGATTTTCTCTGGTCCCAAATTAGAGGCTGTGTTAATGTATATAAAATAGACCAAACCCGGATATAAGAGAAACCCGGATATAAGAGAAACCCGGATATAAGAGACTTCTCCGGTCCCGACAACTCTCTTATATCCGGGTTACACTGCATTTGCTGTAAGAAGAGAGACTGATTATTTTCTTTTTATTGATTTGCTTTTTATGGCTTATCAACCTGTTATGAATAATCAAGAGTGGTCTCCCCTTGATTTGTTACTCTCCCTCTTTGAGAGAGCTATTTCTATTTACTGGGACGATAAAAAAAGGATATACGCGAACTTTGTATTCTCAGTTGAATAAAGCTTTCTTAAAGCCTACACCTGAGTACATTTGGCATTATACAACCATTTCACAAACGGCCTTAGGCAGATCATTTATGTAAGATATAACAAACAAAAGTTTTTGTTTTGTTTTATTTATATTTATTAGAATTGCAATAAAACCTAAACATATGAAGAAAGCGAATTTATATATTTTTGGGACTTGAGAATTTACAACAAAAATATTAAATACTATTTGCTTATTATATTATTTATTTGAAAGAATAATTTGATAGTTACAACATTCTAAAAACTGCGGCAGTTGTATTAAAATTAATGCTATGAAATATTTATCATAACCATTTTATAAAGAAACTAGCAGCATGGCCCGGCGTTGCCCGTGCTTGATTCAAAAATCGTACGACTCATACAGCAATCGCTATCACTTGACTTAAAATATTTTTGCCCTTCCTTGCCTTTAAAGGAGTGCCCTTTGCCGTGCTGATGTTGCTACATGCCTTACTTCTTGCCTATCTCACACTGCGAATTTTTATACTAAACATTAAATCTGTTAAGAACTAAACAAAATGAACACAAAACGATCAGCTTTAAAAAAAAAGGACTCGTAACTGGAAAAACCGAATGAAAAAAGAATGTTAACAACAAATACTTTTTCACACCCAACCCAGTTCTGCGGAATCAGAATCAACGTTGAGTTTAAGCATGCGACTGAGCCAATTGGAATAAAGTGCCATGCAGATTTAAATTTTTCTCACTTGTGACGAATGCAGCTATCGATTTTTTTTGCATGCTAGTTAACATTCGTGTCAGTCAGCTGTTGGCTCTCACGCTGGGCAATAGAATCTTCCTGCCTATTCGTGGCAGCCAGCTATAGTCTCTCACTCTGTCTAGTAGAAAATGGCTGCAAACTACATGAAAACTGCCGTAGAAGCATGACAAGATCGATTATTTCCACTATCGATGGGAGTTGGGAAATCCAATGTCGATCTTGGCCTTTCCGCTAACTTGGTGTATGTGCATGTAAATGTTGGTGCAAATCCGTCGAAAATTGCGGCCGTGCATTCGTTACACACACACACACACACACACACACACACACACACACACACACACACACACACACACACATCCTGCCTTTCATAGATAGAGATAAATATGAAAACAATTTGTTTTCATAAATTTACAACAATTTACTAAATTATCAAAATATGTAAATCAACTATAAGTAAATTCTTATTGTTTACCATTTTATAAAGCTCGAATCGTTTCGCAATTTGCGGTTGTTTGTCATTGGTGTCATGCCACATATAGTCTGGTGCTCCTGCTTATATATTTAGAGATGCTTCATAACATCCAAAAAGAATCTGCAATGCCATTGGTCTTAACGTTTTTTCCATACACATCTCATATGAAGTCTTCCACAAGAGCTACATACAGGAGATATGTAACATCCTAACAATAGATAATGTCTTGCAGTCGCTTCGCCTATACAGTTAATCAAGCAATTGTATAGACGAAGAGACTATAGATATTAATCTCGCACAGAATCTATCTTACATATTTATAAGGCTACCATTCGTCCTTGTTTTAATATTGCCTGTCTGGTGTTCCTGCTGTATATTTAGAGATTCATAGAAGAATCTGCATTGTTATGGGTCCTAACCTGGCATCTCTGCTTCAGTCCCCCCCCCCGCCTTATTGTTGCTTCACTGCGTCTTCTCTATAAATACTTTCAAGGTCATTTTTCCGATGAACTTTTCACTATGGTACCTAGACTTTATGAATAGTAGATTGGCAGCAAGGTCTCATCAGTTGAAATGCCTAGATATAAGCGCAAGTTTTATGCTAAACGTTTCTTCTATCGCATTTCTCGCTTGTGAAACTCTCTTCCAAACCATTTTATTCGAAGTAGTGTGGCATATCATCATCTTGATTATATTTTTATTTTCTCTTTGAGTTACATGTGCTATCCATTTCAGTTGTTGCTGCTGTTGAAAGTCTTTAAATGATGTAGTTTCTGTTATTTGTTAATGTTATGGATCTTTCTAGTATTGATGGGGTTTTCAACATTTTCCTAACCTTTTTATTTCCATTTCAGTTAGTGTTGGAACGTCAATATTTTGATTATGTCATTATTTCCTCTTTGAGAGATTATTCATTTTTTTCAGTTATATGTGCTATTCATTTCAGTTGTTGCTGCTGTTGAAAGTCCTTAAGTGATGTAGTTTCTCTTATTTGTTAGTGATATGGCTCTTTCTAGTATTGATGGGGATTTCCTTCCTAACCTTTTATTTGAAGTAGTGTGGAACGTCAATATTTTGATTATGTCATTATTTTCTCTTCAAGTTACATATGCTATCTATTTTAGCTGTTGCAACTATTCAAAGTTCTCAAGAAATGTGATTTTTTATAAAATCCAAAGAATCTGCAATATTATTGGTCCTGAATTGGCATCTCGGCTTCATTTTCTTCGTATCTTTTTTTTGTTTTATTATAGATATTTCTATATTTTTAAAACTTAACTAAAACAAAAGAAACAACGAACCAAAACAATCGACCTGTGGCAAAATTTAGCAAGCTTGTCACGCCAGAACAGTGATTCCCATTTTTTTTCCTCTGGGACGCATTTTCGGAATGAATATTTGCTCGCGCCTAACCAAATTTTATGTGAGAAAAGTACATTAACCCCCAAAAAAAAAAAAAACAGCGAGAGCGTTAAAGAGTGATAACCCCGGATTGAAAGTTAGAACATTATCATTGATAACTCTCTCCTCCTATTTGCGGACCATTTTTACATTATTCTTAGTACTTGATATAAGGCAAAAATATCACAGTGATAAAATCGATCAATAATTATTTATAACTATTTATACTGGGATTTATGCTTCCAATTACAAGTAATCCATAATGATATTTCAAATTTTGAAATCATATTTACTTTTTGGCATATGAATTTTTCGAAACTCTTTCTAAATCATTGATTGTCTTTCAGTCATTCCGCCTCGCCTATTATCCACTTCCGTCGCACCTATGAAAACCACTGCGCTAGAGCAATTACGACTGAGTAGTGATTTCGATCGTCACTGGGTGTCCTATACTATACTTTCGGCCTTGTGTCATGTCTACGCTACAACTTTGTACATGTGGGAGAATTTTTTCTATGTTTTTTTTTTTAATTTATTCGTGAATCAAATCTGCACAAATTTGTGTAATATGTTTTCTGAATACGATTCCTTCTCTTGACTTATTTGGACGCGCTTAATTAAAATACACCAACCTTTTTTCTGGCAGTTGTTAAGAAGCAACATTGCTTTCAGGCCATTGCTCTCATTGTCTTTCTCTCTTTTATCACGTCTCCGGGAACATTTCTTTTTTATCCGCCGACTCAGCACCGCCGACTCAGCACCGCCGACTCAGCACCGTGACAACTTCAGGACAACACACCACCAAACTATTCAGTGCGAGGACAACTCAACGCTGACATCGAATTCATAACTTCAGACCAGTTTTGCGCATATCTCTAAAATCGGTTTTGAGTTGAAAATATTTTGAAAGTTTGGCTGTTTGTCTTAGTTTTGTATTGTTTATATTGTAAGTAATTTTCGTATAATCCACATACAATTTTGTAATTTAAACGTTAACGTTAATAATAGAACAGTGTACAATTTATAAACACCTAAAGAAAGATATCTATATATTAACCTCTAAATGTTACATATTTACAACGAAAATTATGTTTACTGCAAAAGTTCCCAAAGCACAATATTTTTTGTGTAAACTTTGTAATCCTTGACAGTTCGTAGATTCAATCAGTAATTTCAGAGGCTGCTTATTTCTCGTCCTACTAAGAGCAACGTATCTTCAGATATATTTTTTAAATTTATTTTCTTTTCTCAAGCTGTTACCAAATTCCACAAGATAAGCCCCGAATTGTAACATAAAACCGGCATTAAAACTAATTATTTAATTGTAAAGAGTGTTTCATTAAGACGGATCAAAATCTGCTGTAAATAAATCAGTGTTATTGGTGAAAATTTTATTTATTTCTCTATTGAATCATGTTATTTAAATCATGGCAATTATGTGTATCGCCCAAATGTCCACCAAATCTGAAAGAAAAAGAAAACAACCATTAGGCGTTTAAACGCAATTCACATTAAAATCGGTCCAAGTTATTGGAACATGCTTTATAAGCTTTTAATTGCTATTGTAAAAAATATAAATGAAGGAGGTAGTGTGAATAAAAAAATCATTTGATGACTAACGAATTATTACAAGAATTGTTCCCCACCATTTTTTAATTATAATTTTTAAAGTTTAAAATGGATTTCTGAAAATGAACAAAGGATTCCTGTGGCGTATTATATATACGAACTCTCTTCCTTAGCGTCAACGGGACCAAGTTAGCACGGCACCGGGTGGGTCATTGTTATTTTGCACACTTCCCCTCAATTGTTACACACGCACAAAAAAAAAAAGCGTATATATATATATATATATATATATATATATATATATATATACGGACAAAGTCAAACAATTATTATAAGACATTTTTATGTTTATACATTCTTTTTATAGATACAAATATTTAAGTAAATGCTCTGTTTAAAATACACAGTATTAAACAAAATTTACCGGCCTGAATGTCCGAGAAATTCGGAGGACGATTATTTTCTGTGAAAATTTCTCGGACATTCAGGCCGGTAAATGTTGTTTAATACTGTATTTTAAACAGAGCATTTACTTAAATATTTGTATCTATAAAAAGAATGTATAAACATAAAATGGCTTAATTATATATATATATATATATATATATATATATATATATATATATATATATATATGGCGTATTGTATATACAGATTATAGTGGAAATATGGATTAACGATTCTGATGTAATCCAAATAAATTAATGCTTTCAAAAACTAAAATAACATTTTCCTTACATACGGGACCGTATGGAAACACCGCTTAGTGTAATAATTAATCTCCTACAACCCAAAATATGTTTCGGCTTAAAATAATCCAGAAAGGGTTGATAAAGCGAAAAAAAACTAATCAGCCAATAAATTTTGCTGTCAGCCGCGGGTAACTGAAACCACGAATAAATGAAGAACATTAACAACATTTAACATTCGTCCCATCCCCGACAAAAATGGTCCATCAATTTGACGCCTATTCCCGTGACACCTTGCTATATACATATTTGACTCCCTCGGTAATTTGTATTGAAAAGATTATGAAAATGTCTGAACTAAATACAATAGGGTATTTATTATTTATGGTATTGATCATTTATAAAGATGTATTATGTATCATTTTATAAAGAATTGATCAATGTATAAGAAATACAAAATAAATAAAAATGTATAAAAAATTACAGAATTATTAAAGTATGTAGTCCAACTACAAAACAATATATATTATAAAATGAACAAAGTCCGACAATTATTTTAAGACATTTTTATAGATACAAATATTTAAATAAATGCTCTGTTTATAATAAACAGTATTAAACAACATTTACCGGCCTGAATATCCGAGAAATTTTTATGGAAAATATACGTCCTCCGACATATACACCAGCTAGATGTTTTCCATAAACGCTGTCTGCGTGCAGTCTGTGGAGTTAAGCTTCAAGATAGGACATTTAATGTAGACCTGTTTAACAGGTGTAATATTGGAGGAATCGAGACTTTTATCATACAGTCTCAGTTACGGTGGACTGGTCATGTCTTGAGAATGTCTGATGACAGGATACCCAAGATCTTAATGTACAGCCAGTTAGATCAGGGCTACAGGAATGTAGAACGCCCATGGCTAAGATACAAAGACAAGCTGAAAAGCGACTTGTCAGCAGTCAATATACCACATAACACCCTTGAGCACTTAGCCTTGGAGCGGGTAGAATGGAAATCAACGTGTTTCAGTGGACTCAGCAATTTTCACTCTACTTGTCTGAATCATCTTCAAGAAGTGAGAGCAAAATCTAAAAGGTCAGCCAATCTAACAGTGATCTCATCTCACAATCCTCACACTTGCTCCATATGTGGCCTCCTTTGTAAATCACTAGAGGGTCTTAAATCCCACTTAGGATTATTGCACAAAATTTCATAACAATCAATAAGCTGTCAGATCCTCATACGTCGAAACCGACGGAGAGTACATATATATATATATATATATATATATATATATATATATATATATATATATATATATTACACACACAATTTATATATATATATATATATATATATATATATAAATTCCTGCTTGTTATATATATATATATATATATATATATATATATATATATATAGACTCTCCTGACGGTTTCGATTGTATGAATATATATATATATATATATATATATATATATATATATATATATATATATATATAAATAAAAGAAAGAAAAGTAAGATATAAAATCCGGTGTTCTTATAGATATTTTATTTTTTACAAAATAGTGCTCAATGTAAATTTACAGAACATTAATATTATAAATTAATTGATTTAAAATATAGTTATTTTCGCTACACAGTTCAACCATGTTTCAAAATAGAAAGCTAAAACCCTAATTTTATTTTTGCAATTTATAATTTAATTGCAAAATAAAATTAGGGGTTTTAGCTTCTATTTTGAAACATGGTTGGAACTGTGTAGCGAAAATAAATAATTTTAAAAATTTATAATATATATATATATATATATATATATATATATATATATATATATATATATATATATATATAAATTCCTTGTAAATATATATATATATATATATATATATATATACATATATATATATAAATTCCTGCTTGTTATATATATATATATATATATATATATATATATATATATATATATATATTTCTATATATTAACAAGCTGGAATGTATATATATATATATATATATATATATATATATATATTCCTGCTTGTTAATATATATATATATATATATATATATATATATATATATATAAAGATGCATCAAAATCTAGATGGGTCTCCTTCAGTTTAAAAGACCCATTCCACCTAGATGGGCCCAAATACTCTAAATTGTTTCAAATTAGTTCGAAGTAGCCCCATTAGATATGAAAATAAGGAAATGAGAAAATGAAGAGAACCCCTCTTGTTCTTTAGAGGCACAAGACTAGAAGTTCCTTGTGGGGTGGGGCCCTCTAACCTTAGAGCCCCTGCGTTGCAGCCCATTCTAACTCATATGTAAACCCAGCACTGACAATGCGTTTCACTTTTCTGGATATTCATTTATCTACTTCATATGTCTTTTACCGATGCAATGTGTTGAATAGTAACAGTCGCATTGTGACACATTTCAAATTGTTTTGGTCCAACGCTAGTTATATTCAATATTTACCATCCGTTTTTAATAGATTGCATCTTCCAGACCCCCATTTCCAGTTTAAAACCTACTAAACCACTTTGAAGATTTTTAATACCATGTCACTTTAGAATGTACATTATCACTGCTCTCCACAGCTTCCTTTCTCTTAATATTTCTGAATTGCCATGGGAAAGTTAGTTGAGTGGTTTTCTGAACGCCAAACAACTGGCATTGATGCGTAATACACATTTTTCACTGTTACCAAGCAGGCGTTTTCAGATTTCTACTTATCTTCGTCTGGCACTGAGTCAGATGCCTGGCCGAAGAAGATTGTGTTGCGTCAATTTTCAACGTAAATGTACAGCTTTCAAGCTTTTAATGATTTTCTCTTTTTCTTTCGTTTGCTTTTTCTTTCTTTCTAGTCGTTCTGTTTTCTTTTTTACTCGATTTTTTATTTTCTTTCCGTTTTTCTTTCTTTCTTTCTTTCTCTTTCTTTCTTTCTTTCTTTCTTTCTTTATTTTCTTTCTTTCTTTCTTTCTTTCTTTCTTTCTTTCTTTCTTTCTTTCTTTCCAGCCTTTATTTCTTTCTTTCTTTCCAGCCTTATACTTTCTTTCTTTCTTTCTTTATTTTCTTTCTTTTCTTTCTTTCTTTCTTTCTTTCTTTCCAGCCTTATACTTTCTTTCTTTCTTTCTTTCTTTCTTTCTTTCTTTCTTTCTCCGTCATTTTAATTTCTTTCTTTTTTATTCGACGTTTTATTTTCTTTCTAATTTTCCTTTCGTTTTTCTTTCTTTCTTTCTTTCTTTCTTTCTTTCTTTCTTTCTTTTTTTTTTCTTTCTTTCTTTCTTTCAAGCCTTATTCTTTCTTTCTTTCATCCTTTCGCTCATTCCGGTTTATTCTTTCTTTCTTTCTTTCTTTCTTTCTTTCTTTCTTTCTTTCTTTCTTTCCTGTCGTTTTGTTGTTTTTCTTTATTTATTTATTTCTTTATTTATTACTCCGTCATTTTAATTTCTTTCTTTCTTTCTTTCTTTCTTTCTTTCTTTCTTTCTTTCTTTCTTTCTTTCTTTCTCACCGTTTTGCTATCTTCTTTTCTTTCTTTCTTTCTTTATTACTCTGTCATTTGAATTTCTTTCTTCTTATTCTTTCTTTGTCTCTTTCTTTTTTTTTATTCTTTCTTTCTATGCTTTGAACCCCTTTCGCTTACTCAATCATCCTCTACGCCCTCGCTACTTAAAAAGCGCGAAACACTCAAAAACAAAAACAAAAAAAAGAGAGAGAGAGTGGTGGGGGTCGTTGTAAGTTGAGATAGAATGCGTAGGGGGTAAAGGTACAGGACACAGGCTGCAGGGTGGTGCCAGAGAAGGAAGAGAGAAGGATTAAAAAAAATAAATGATGTTGAGGGAAAATGTCGAAAACAGGGGAAGATCGGTGGGGAGATTCCCGCGTAATAAAGAGAAGGAAGAAGATGGCGTCTGGAGAGATGGGTAGTTAAGATTCAGGGCCGGGGTGTTGAAGGAGGGGGTCGCAGTCGGCCGAAGATGAAAGAAGCCGAACTGGGAAGTTCAACAGCCCAACCATTTTGCTGTTTTCACGAGTTTTTGTGTGAGAGAGACGGGTTTTTTCTTTTTTTTCGTTTTTTTCTTGCCTTTTTCGCTTTCTGCTTAGCTTCTTCGAGATCATGTACCTTCTCCTTCCGCCTACGTCTTGTACCCTTTCCCTTAGCGCATGTCCCCCCCCGACATTCTATCTGCACTTGCCTTCGTTCATTGTTCTTTCTTTCTTTCTTTCTTTCTTTCTTTCTTTCTTGCTTTCTCAATTTCTTTCTTTAACTTTTCCCTTTCACACTCCTTTCTCTTTTCTCTTTAAACTCATTTCTTCCTTCTTTATTCCTTTCTTTTCGCCGTTCCTTTCTTTACTTTCGTTACCTTATTCGATTTCCATTTCTTTCTCTCTTTCTTTCTTTCTTTCTTTCTTTCTTTCTTTCTTTTCCTTTCTTTTTCACACGCTTTTCTCTTAAATTTTATTTCTTCTTTCATTCTATCTTTTTTCCTTTCCCGATTTCTAGCTTTTAATTTCTTCTCTGTATTAGACTTCTCTTTCTTTCTTTCTTTCTTTCTTTAAATTCTTTCTTTCTTTCTTTCTTTCTTTCTTTCTTTCATATTTCTTTTTCTTTTCACTTTAACCTCATTTGTTCCTATTTTTTGTTTCCCGATGTCTGCCTTTTACTTTCTTTAATCTATTAGATTTCTCTTTCTTTCTTTCTTTCTTTCTTTCTTTCTTTCTTTCTTTCTTATTTCTTTTTCTTTTCTCTTTAACCTCATTTGTTCCTATTTTTTGTTTCCCGATGTCTACCTTTTACTTTCTTTAATCTATTAGATTTCTCTTTCTTTTTTCTTTCTTTCTTTCTTTCTTTCTTTCTTTCTTTTTTCTTTTTTTCTTTCTTTCTTTCTTTCTTTCTTTCTTTCTTTCTTTCTTTTCTCTTTATCCCCATTTCTTCCTATTTTTTCTTTCACGATTTCTTTCTTTTACGTTTTTTTTTTACTCTAATAGACTTTCCTTTATTCTAATTTCTCGATTTCTTTCTTTCTTTTCCTTTTCTGTTTCACACGCTTTTTTCTTTTCTCTTTAATCTCATTTCTTCCTTCTTTCTTCCTTTCTT